GAAGAATAGGTTAGTCTGACATGACCAATTAAATATTGGTCATTTCGACCAATACATAATTGGTTGAATTTTTAACCAATTTAAAATGGTAAATTTAACCAATTTCTTTTGATCAGTCAAAGTTGAATTTCCCAAAATAACCAATAAAAATTGGTCATATCCCCAACCAATTTAAAATTGGTCATATGCATAACCAATTTAAATTGGTCATCTCTATAACCAATTTTAAATTGGTCGAATCCATAACCAATTTTTAATTGGTCAAATCCCGTAACCAAATGTAAATTGGTTAAATGGGTAACCAATTATTAATTGGTCAATTCCCATAACCAATTGGAAATTGGTCAAATGCATAACCAATTTTTTAATTGGTCAAATCCATAACCAATTCGAAATTGGTCAAATCAGTAACCCATTCTAAATTGGTCAAATCTGATCTGGCAGTGTTTTCTGTTATCCAATTCTGCATGTAATTTATTTCTGTAATGTATCCATAGCTTTGCTGGCCTTTGTTGTTTTACTCAGTCAAACACTAGATTTTACTCGTAAAGAGGGGAGACCTTTAGTCAATACACCACAGACACAGTGTCAGTGACAGTGGCTAAACTTTGATATTGATTTTATATTTCAATTGTATTTATTTAGTTTACCTGGTCAAAATTTTGCCGCCCGAGTTAATTTTAAATTCTTCATGAGTTCATGGAAACTCTATTTACACAAAATATTTATAGTGTTTGTCGTGTGACATATAAACATGCAAGCGAAAATTCTCACGATCGACGAGCGCGGTTTCGCACGGACAGGCTGGGACCTAGTTTTCCGACAACACGCGCAAAGCCTTCCGGGATAGCGTCATCACACTGACGCCGCCATATTTATTCGAAATTTTTATTATTCATTTTGATTTTTTGTTGCCTGTAAAAATGAGTATTTGAAGGCAAGACGATGCCTTTTAACGAGGATAAAACATCATGGATGATTGCCTAGCATACAGGTAAGAATATTGTTATGTTTTCTATATAATAGAGCAATTTTGAAACGAAATATTTGCAATCTTCATTCGTGAATTTTGAACCATGTGTTCCGGCTTAAAATTTGAATTTGCCGCGACAATATTTGAATTAAAACGATAATATAAATACATTAGTTTTTACAAAGGCTTGCATTTGACTCAGCCCTAGTTTATATATCGAATAATATGACAGATAATTTGTAACAATGTTTCTCGTCTAGAATAATATAGCTTTATAATTGGCATCATTCTACATTTCTACTCAATCCTCATATCATGTGCCCACTAAAGCACGTCCCAGCTAAACATGGCTTGAGAGAATTTATTGACTTTAATAATTTCAACTGCTACTTTCATAAGTTTCAAATGTTTATTCATATATATATATACAGATAAGTGGGTCGGTTTAGTAAAAATGTCAATTTGATGTGTTATATGGCAACTTGATTTATTGACAGTTAAGTCCTAAAAATGCATGAATAATAATACAACAATAAGCCTAATTTTCAGCACTTTGTTAAAATTAAATGTTATCTTAACTAATGCCGGACAATTTTATTTGTCCAGGGAAGTGTCTAGCTAGACTCTGCCCATGTTTCATGTTGACATATTTAGATGCAAATATTTTACCTAACACTCCCCACTTTAACTACTGCGATATTTAACTCGATGGTGGAGTGCTTGCCCATATTTCACGTTTTAAGTATTAACACCTAAGTAGGGTTGGGCGATATTAAAAAAATCATCTCACGATTATTGTCGAGGAAATTATCACGATATTCGATAATATCGCGATAAAAACAATGACCAATAAGCTTAAAAATAATCTTATTAAAAACAAGTAAAACAACAAATTAAAATAATTTAATATGAAAGCTTTTTCTAGTCTAATATTTACTGTCCATAAACCCGAACTGTCTATGCAGTGTCTACTGTGTCTCCGCAGGCGCAAATGCCGTGGGCACACAGCGCAAGCAAAGCCTGCAATTTCATTGTTCAGCGGCTTACTAATTTCCAAGGCCGAATGGCCGTATTAAATTCGTATTTAATTCAGGAAATAGTTTTAATTCTTTTAAAAAATATGTTTTCTAGAAATTGAAGGAATTTTTTAGGATTTTTATAAAAGCTATATACTACATCAAAGCAATATCACGATAGTCAACGAGCATGACGATAATTTCGATATATCGTCGCTCTAGTTTCTACCTTCGATACGATAATCGCGATTGAAAATATCGCGATAAATCAAAATATCGAAATATCGCCCAACCCTACACCTAAGAAGCAATTTCCTCTTCTAAATGTTACCTACTTTAAGTTCTTTGAAGGGGTGTAGAGAATAGAGTCTTTTTTGCTATTCTGCTGGATACAGGATAGGTTGGATAGTTTTTGCTATCCAGCCAGATATGTACACGATATAGTATGTTGGATAGTTGAAAATATCCAGCCAGATTCATGGTATTATCCAAATATATATGGTTAATGCCTCATAAATTTAAGGTCACTCCTTTAAATGGCGATGTGCCCAGCAGCCTGGATGCTCCCCACTGTATTATTTTACTTGTCAGTTGTCAGGAGGAGAGTGCTGCCAGTCAATGGGTTAATCAGACTATCTTCCCATGCACCCTATCAACCCTTCAAGTGGCAATGTGCCTCACTTTATTATTTTACTGTCTAATTAGATGTCAGACAATTTCACTTGTCAGGGGGAGAGTGCTGCCACTCAATGGATTAATCAAACTATCTGTCCATGCACCCTACTAACCCTTCAAGTGGCAATGTGCCCCACTTTATTATTTTACTGTCTAATTAGATGTCAGACAATTTCACTTGTCAGGAGGGAGAGTGCCGCCACTCAATGGGTTAATCAAACTATCTGTCCATGCACCCTATCAACCCTTCAAGTGGCAATGTGCCCCACTTTATTATTTTACTGTCTAATTAGATGTCAGACAATTTCACTTGTCAGGGGGAGAGTGCCGCCACTCAATGGGTTAATCAAACTATCCGTCCATGCACCCAACTAACCCTTCAAGTGGCAATGTGCCCCACTTTGGATGTCAGACAATTTCACTTGTCAGAGTGCTGTCACTCAATGGGTTAAGTGCTTCACCTTCCCTAAATTTATTTCCACTTCCCCCACTATTTCCACCAAAAATCCAAAATCCATCCTTGGTATTATGGGAACTGTTTTCATTGGGAGATTGTTGATGTACTCTAAGTGTGTTTCGTCAGTAATATTATCAATCATATAGTCAGTCTTGATATGCATGCACTTATCTTTTCCTGTTTTACCTACAATCAACAGGATGATGATGTTACAAAGAAGATCAAGAAATATGTATCTCCAAGACTTCTGCATGATGTTTGTTGCTGAAGGAATGGTTGTCACCAAACTGAAAGCTGTAAATATCTTAAATATCTGTATTTTGTTTGCATATTGTATGTGTATAGTGCTGAAGGTGTAACTTGACACAGTAAGAATGTGTTTTTATTTTTGGAACATATTCTTATTCCCTGCAGTGGAAAGAAGAGACTTACATGCATGTTGCTAATGCCAGTTGAACACTTAATTTCTTTTATGAAATAGAACATTGCAAGCATGCATGCATGTCCAAGGGTATCGCATACATACAGTTGATTCCGTTTGACCGATAGATATATTTTTATACAATATATATTTTCACACAACAGAGCATTAATTAATATACAGTATGTGCATCAAGTTAGGATTTCCATCAATGTTGGGATTGATTTTATTATAATTAATATTAGCCAAGTGAACATTATTTTGTGTGACCTCCTTTTGATTTTAGAATATAGCTTTAACTCTTTCTGGCATAGTTCAACAAGTGTTCTAAGTACTACTGGCTTAAGGTTATTCCAGCATTGATTAAGGACATGCTATACAGTAGGTTGTCTTTACTTGTGGTATCATGTTTCACTTTCTCTTGTTTCAAATGGTCCCATAAATCCTCAATAGGATTTACGTCCCGAGATTGAGGAAGAAAATTTTGTAACAACTAAATCGCCTTTCTCGTGCTTTCTTCTTAAATAATTTTTACACATGTGACAAGGATGGTTCGGATCATTATCCGTTGCAAGACAAATCTCCTTCCACACAACCTTGAGCTACTGTAGATGGTATAGTGTGATCTGGTTGTTCTGGATTTCTGCCTCAACTTCCAGCCGGACCTAAATCCTATTGAGAATTTATGAAAAGTGAAACATAATCCCAGAACTAAAAGCAGCCAACCAATAGCATGATGTTAATCAATAATTCTGGAATAACCTTGAAAACCATCAATACTAAGAAAAACCATATTAAATACTAAGAAAAAACCATCAAAATTTGTTCAGTCTACATGTATGCCAGGAAGATTTTAAGCTGTTTTAAAATCAAAAGGAGGTCACACAAATATCAATATAATATTCACTTGGCTAATATAGTATAATCAATTCCAACTGTAGTGTATATCCTTATTTGTTGCACATATAGTAGTGTGTTGTGTCAAAATGTATTGTATATCAATATAAAAAGGCAAGATCATATTGACTGGACTCAGACTTTTGACCAGTGGCATATAAGGTGGCTTTTCAAGGTGACTTTTCCCACTTATTTAACTCCGAGGAGAAATGTCTGGGAAAATAATTTTCAGAATTGTCCAAGATTTCACTCCCAAAATGCTTGAAATCGCATTTCAGGGGATCTAGATTTTAAAATTTTCTTTGGGGTGCATGCCCCCCCCCCCCAAGACGGTCTCATGCCTTGCATGAGTTTGCTCCTCCCCCCCCCGTCCAAAATGAAGGGCTGCATAGTACGCCACTGCTTTTGACCCCCACTGTATAACGATGAACTACTTGTAATGTGCAAGCCAGGAGAATCAAATGCGAAGTCCTTTGTCGTTATATTTTCTCCTTTTATAACAATCCTTTTATTTGACAAATCAACTTCCATATCATCCTCCAAAATTATCAATCACAAAGATCAACCCATCTTCTCCAAGTAAAACAACATGATCTAGCAGCATGCGTTCGCAAAACACGTTGGGCTGTGACAATGACAATATTTCTAAGGGGCGGGATTACAGTTGGCGCGCAATAGATATAGAAGCCGTTTAATGCGTGCCATGCACTTCGTTGCCATTGTTGTTTTTGCTAAATAAAGTTGTCGATAACTATGTCCATAGTGAAAGTTAATTATTTACGACTATTATGCTGCAAAGAGATCAACGGCGTTTTTATGATAGAAGAAAATCTAATGAGTTTCTCTTACGATGGATTCGAAACATGCACGTCTTACAACCGAAGTTGACGACACGGAAGTTGATTTCTCGTCGTCTTACTTCAACTTTCAAATAAAAGGATTGTTAGAGAAGGAGAAAAATATCACGATAAAGGCCTTCGCATTTGCTTCTCCTGACTTGCACATTACAAATATAGTTCATCGCTACATCAACAAAATCTAAAATTTAATTTCGTCTACAATATTACATTTCTGTTTGCAGAAATGGCCTTTCCGTTTTGAAAACAACGGCCTTTCTTGTTTATCCGCCACATTTCTCTAAATCCAACTGTAATCCCGCCCCTTTGGCTCTAGAATTTACGGTCAAACGTAGTCCGCTGTGAAATATGAAATGGTTCTCTGACTGCATGCATGCGTGTAAATATTTATTTTCACAAGTTTTGGCTATATGACTTGATAGCCTTCGACGAGTAAATATTGTAGAAATATTTACAGTCAGAGAGGTTTCGTGTGACGTTTCATCCCTATAGTTATTATATTGCATATACTGTATATTGATTTTGTATTTTAATCTTAATATTTATTTGTTAATAAATTATTGTTTTTCAAGCACGTTTTGAATGGTTTAATGGCGAAATGGAAAGCAATTTTGATAATTTTGACCAATTTAAATGTTTAACCAATTTTAATTTGGTCATTTGAAATTGGTTAAAATGACCAAAAAAAATTGGTCGTTTGAATGCGTCTGAGACAACCAGTTTAAATTGGTCTTTTTAACCAAATAATTAATTGGTCAAATTGACCATTTATTTATTGGTCAAAACAACCAATTATTTCCGGTTGTTTTGACCAATAAATAATTGGTCAATTTGACCAATTAAATAATTGGTCAATTTGACCAATTACTTTTTTGGTTAAAACGACCAATTTAAACTGGTTGTCTCAGACGCATTCAAACGACCAATTTTTTTTGGTCATTTTAACCAATTTGTTTTTACTGTGTATATATGCATGTATATCATAAATTTAAGAGCCTATATACTGCCGTAACTGGACACGATTAAGGTTACATCATTAGAAGCTACTGTTTTAGCCAAAATTCACCACCTTTTAAACATTGTGGTCAATTTTGGAGCTTCAGTGCTATGAATCGGATATTGAGCTGGGTTCGTAATAGCTTAGACAGTTCGTTGGCCAGTGACTTTATGTTGCTATCCATGAATAAAGACCTGTTAAAAAGAATAAACTTGGACAAAGTGCTTGATCGATGGGTAAATCAAAAATCCCGAATTGTACAGTTTAAGTAAAGACTTGTAGCGCAGCTAGCGCTTAAAACTAATTTAATTTGACTTTTTTTCAGAATTCATAACACTCATTGTGTGACTTGTGAGATTATAAATGTAGAATACTTTTGCTAGTTTTTAGCTTGTTTTTATTAAAACTTACCATTTCGTTTCCTTATATTGTGCTTTCATTTTTCAAAGTAAATTATGAAATCTAGCTAAAATATAATTTTAGTAAAATTTTTGGAGGGGCGATCGCCCCCCCTCGCCCCCCCCTAGTTTCCGCCACTGGACAGTTCTGTGTACATTCAAATCTAAAAAAGCTAAATGTCCATTTATCTCACGTTCTACCGTGAATTGGATGGACGGCTCAATAGAATTTAAATGTTGCAGCAGAATATCGATCTCATTTGTAGAAACCGCAGAGATGACATCATCGACGAAACGTTTCCAAAACGATAGGGACACCGGAACAGAGGCTAAAGCTCTTTGTTCGACATCTTCCATTACTAAATTAGCAATTACTGCCGAAACTGGTGACCCCATCGCTGTTCCAAAAACCTGTTGATAATAACAGCCCTCAAACACAAAGTATGTGACGTTCAGACAAAAAGACAGAAGATCAATAATATCTTCTACAGGCAAGGATGTTCTTTGTAACAAAGTGGCATCCTGCCTTAGTCTTTTTGCCGCAACCTTGATGGCAAGATCAACTGGGATATTTGTAAACAAGGAAACGACATCAAATGATACCAACACTTGATCTGCTTTAAGAGTTTTACCTCTTACAAATTCTGCAAAACGACAGGAATTTTTTACAGTGTTTTCGGTATTTCCCACCACAGGGGACAAAATTTTCGCCAAAAAACTTGAAACTCCATATGTAGGAGAATTCACAAAGGACACAATAGGTCTCAATGGAATTTCCGGTTTATGGATTTTCGGTAAGCCATAGAAACGCGGAGACAGTCCATCACTGCTGTATAACTTTTCATATGTAGTCTTGCTGATAATATTGGATTTCTTCAAAAGAAGTAACTTGGCGTTTAAACCTCTTTGAGTCTTTCCAGTAGGATCAGACTTGAGAATAGAATACGTATTTCTGTCATTCAACAGTGAAAGAGCCTTCTCGCTTTTGTCCCCTGTGGTGGGAAATACCGAAAACACTGTCAAATATTCCTGTCCTTTTGCAGAATTTGTAAGAGGTAAAACTCTTAAAGCAGATCAAGTGTTGGTATCATTTGATGTCGTTTCCTTGTTTACAAATATCCCAGTTGATCTTGCCATCAAGGTTGCGGCAAAAAGACTGAGACAGGATGCCACTTTGTTACAAAGAACATCCTTGCCTGTAGAAGATATTATTGATCTTCTGTCTTTTTGTCTTAACGCCACATACTTTGTGTTTGAGGGCTGTTATTATCAACAGGTTTTTGGAACAGCGATGGGGTCACCAGTTTCGGCAGTAATTGCTAATTTAGTAATGGAAGATGTCGAACAAAGAGCTTTAGCCTCTATTCCGGTGTCCCTATCGTTTTGGAAACGTTTCGTCGATGATGTCATCTCTGCGGTTTCTACAAATGAGATCGATATTATGCTGCAACATTTAAATTCTATTGAGCCGTCCATCCAATTCACGGTAGAACGTGAGATAAATGGACATTTAGCTTTTTTAGATTTGAATGTACACAGAACTGTCGAAGGGAAGTTAGAGACTGATGTTTATCGCAAACCCACACACACAGACAAATATTTGTCATACGACTCTCATCACCCAGTAAGCCATAAAAGATCCGCAGCAAAAACTTTGCTTCAAAGAGCTGAATCGTTGCCGTCAAACAGTGATTCTCAAGCTAACGAACGTGAATATGTTCTAAATGTTTTAGGGGGAAACAATTACCCAAAGCGTTTTCTTAATGATTGCTTGAGGTCACCTGTTTGTAGGAACCAAACTAACTCCGAGGGTGATACCTCCGTTAAGGGTTTTGCAATAGTTCCATACATTCAAGGTGTCACAGAACCAATCAAGAGAATCTTAAGTAATTGTAATATTAAGGTTGCCTTAAAACCCTATTTGACTTTAGGCCATATTTTCGCAAAGCCAAAAGATCCTGTTGAAAAAAATCAGAAGACTCATGCTATATATTCTATACCATGCGGTGACTGCGACAAAGAGTATTTGGGTCTAGTCTAAGCGCCAGTTTGGTACACGGCTAAAAGAACATCAAAAGGCTGTTTCAACTTTAGACAAGGGAAAATCAGCTTTAGCCGAACATGTATGTTACACCAAACACGAGATTGCGTGGGAAAACTCTAAAGTAATTACCACAAACAATCGCTATGGTCAAAGACTTTGCCTAGAAGCGTGGCATATAAATATGAGTCATCATGCTTTGAATAGGGATGACGGCGCCTATTTGCCAGAGGAATATATGCATCTTCTTGGCAGGTGACGTTGGCAGTTTTAGATCACCCCTGATGAAGACACTAGACTGGAGTGTCGAAACGTTGGGTCTTGATTACAATTCGACTGGGCTTTGTAATCATTTATTTAAACCAGAGTAGCGAGCGAAATATGATTGATTTACCTGGTTGCAGTGAACGAACAAACTTTAAATTCATATATTGTTTACGTTTAAATTTTACTCAAAATACAGTAATTGTTTATCAAGTTTTTGAGCTTTGTAACATTTCAATGACAATTTCAGTGAATAATTACGATTTTAAAGCGAAATAATTCAGTTGTAGTAGCTATTGTTGTACTTTTTGATGCATATTATATATGTCTGAAACGTTTGGTTTGAATTGTGTCTATCGTTCAGCACTTAAATTTCACTATAATATATAATAACTCATATAATAAACAAATTACTTCATGGTTGATTCGCTTGTACGATTTTTATTATGCACTCGTTGCGAAAAATTCCTATAAACTCACTCGTTCGCTGCGCTCACTCGTTCGTTTATAGGAATTTTTTGCAACTCGTGCATAAAAATCGTACGCGCTCATCAACCATGAAGTAATCTCTATTTATTACTATTAATATCTGTTATGGATCAAATATTAATAATGTTTAAAAAAATAACTAGGGATCCAAGGATAGTGTGAAGTTTCGAATTGAAAAAGACACTGCAAGAACTATATATGGTCGCCGACGGCTAGAAAAGCTGATGGCATACATCTCATTATTTATTGCTTTTAATACGCTCGGCACACGAGTAGCGTGACTTTTGAAACAAGCCTAACACATAAGAAACTTGCCTTGTGAAACTGATGCAATTAATCTATTTATTGTGATGCTACACGATGCTAAATTTTCATTTGTATTTGCAGCTGTCGCTAAAAGCATCCCCACGAGGCTACTGCTATGCTAAATTTATCTAAAACTATAATTGAAATAGCTGTATAAGATATGTTATGAATAATAAGCACTACGTCGTTACATCATTAAAGGATTTTATTCTCACCCGTTCCGTATTCTATCCGCATATCCGTTCCGTGGATCCGCTCCATCCGCTTCCGCATTTTGACCTAATTGTGACATGCTTTACAATAACAAGTTTCATTGACCTTTGACTTTTCCAGTGTCACGTCTATTTTCAGCTTTTCGCATGTGTTGAATAATGTCACTTTAGATTTCAATAGTTTTACAATTAAGCAGTGTTTAAAGCAGTTTTGACAAGCTTTGAACAGTTCTGTTTACAGAATACTACAGATTGATTCTCGTAAGATCTGGTAGAGTTATCGTTGCACTGAACAAGAGTTTACACCGTTGACAACGGCGTTGTGCTAGACAGTAAACAGAGACAAGGCCCGTGACGGTACACGTTGGCTACATGTACCTCCTTGCTTTTTGTTTCTATTGCATAAAGCTTGTTGGCGAGCCAAGCGATGGCGATAACACGTTGGTGATAACGCATTGGCTATCTCCTCGTCTTTCTTATTTAATTAAGGAGCTCTGACTCGCAAGTTATTTTCTTCGTAAACGCCGTACAAACGTTTACCCGCTTCTGTTTAATAGTTGTTTCGCTCTTTGTACTGAGCGTAGCCATCTATTCTGTGATGTATACACCTTATACAGTCAATGACAGTGTATAATGAATACACGTTCTAAATAATATCGATGGGCTTAATTGAATACCGGTAATGCACAACATATTAATACTACATAATAGTATTATTGCGTAGAATCTCAAAGGACAAAGATTTGCTCAATATTCATGTCTGAAATGTTCATATACTTGAAAACAACACTGTCTCGCTTCTGCCTACGTATACTGTACCTCTGTATAACGAGTATGCCGTGAAAATAATATCGGCACTCAATTGAATGCTTAGAATCTCAAAGATTTTCTCAATATTTACGTCTGAAATGTTTATACATTTGAAAACAACACTGTCACGTCGCTCCTTCCTAGCTCTGTATATTAATGAATATACCGTCCACATATATCAGTACTTGATTGAAAGACCGTCATGCATAACATAAATTTATATATTGCGTAGATTCTCAAAGATTTACTCAATATTCACGTCTGAAATGTTTAAATTAATACATTTGCATGAAAACAACACTGTCGCTCCTTCCTAGCATCGTGATCTACGGCTTCATAGCGCATGCGCATTTGCCCTGCTATAGAAAAAATCGGGTGTTCCGGGGGGAAAGATCCTTTACACAACATGAGAAGCGAATGTTCTGAAATTACAAAAAATTACAATAACGACAACGATTCCTCGAGATTTTTGTGAACTTGGCAAAAGGACAAAAGAATATTTAAAGAAAATAAATAAAATTGCTTAAATAACCTTCAAAGCACTGACTAAGTACAATAAATCACTGCGAACATAAATCGTATACACCCCCCGGAAAGTTTACTCTATGACTGACTGAGTGACTGATTGCCTGACTGACTGATTGCCTGACTGACTGATTCGTGTGAATTCGCCAGCCATCACAACAGTGTGAAGTGAAACTTCACACTAAAAATTAAAACTGTTTAAACAAAGTTAAACAAACATCGATTTAGAAAAGAACTTTTCTTTTCTTATTAGAAAATGTTCGAATTCGTGTCCCGTTGGACTTAGATTTTAGCTCCTCTAATTAGGTACTTATATATAGTATTACTAGAGATAAAATAAATTATTCTTTTATCCCAAACTTATCAGTTAAATATGTCTAAACCGAGAATTGGACTGAGATATAAAATACAATACATTACCTGCAACACCCGCTCCTCCTCCCACCCACTTGATTTTGTTGCCATAGTCGCCATAGAAACTGATAAATACAACGAAAAGAAGAGCAGCGACATCGTTCGCTGCTGAAATAATCCCAAGTTCTTTACTGGATAAACTAAATCTCTTTTCAATACTTGGCAAGATTAACACTGGGAAACCTGTCATCGTTATGCCTAAAAAGAAAAGATTTGTTGGATCAATTCCAATATAAATGAACATAAAAGAAAATGTATGTTTTGTTTTTAAATCACCCAATCACAAACCTGTTCATGTATATGTATAAAGCTCAGTGGCGGAAACTTTGCAAAATTTTGGGGGGGGCGAGTGCCGGAGGCACGAGTTTTTTAGGGAGGTCTGGGGGCATGCCCCCCCAGAAAATTTTTAAAATTTGGACCCCTGAAATGGCATTTGCAGCATTCTGAGAGCGCATTTTGTAAGAAATTCCAGGTTTTCAAAACATTAAGTTAATGGTGAATTTTGGTTTAAATCATGTGGTAAACATAAAAAACCGGTAATCTGAACTTGCAGTACGTAATAAATATCTAAACCAGAGAAGTGAAAGAACACCTGAAAATTACTACCTATAGAATAGATACTGTATAGTCCGTAGTAAATTTGATACAATTATTTGCTATTGTTTTATGAACACTCGGGAAAATACTCTATATTATATATGCATGTATATCATAAATTTAAGAGCCTATATACTGCCGTAACTGGACACGATTAAGGTTACATCATTAGAAGCTACTGTTTTAGCCAAAATTCACCACCTTTTAAACATTGTGGTCAATTTTGGAGCTTCAGTGCTATGAATCGGATATTGAGCTGGGCTCGTAATAGCTTAGACAGTTCGTTGGCCAGTGACTTTATGTTGCTATCCATGAATAAAGACCTGTTAAAAAGAATAAACTTGGACAAAGTGCTTGATCGATGGGTAAATCAAAAATCCCGAATTGTACAGTTTAAGTAAAGACTTGTAGCGCAGCTAGCGCTTAAAACTAATTTAATTTGACTTTTTTTCAGAATTCATAACACTCATTGTGTGACTTGTAAGATTATAAATGTAGAATACTTTTGCTAGTTTTTAGCTTGTTTTTATTAAAACTTACCATTTCGTTTCCTTATATTGTGCTTTCATTTTTCAAAGTAAATTATGAAATCTAGCTAAAATATAATTTTAGTAAAATTTTTGGGGGGGCGATCGCCCCCCCTCGCCCCCCCCCTAGTTTCCGCCACTGATAAAGCTTTATGATCAGACCCTCATGGTAACCGTAGTTAGTTTGCATTTTAGTCCCGACTTGCGACTGCCCAAAGCATCTGACGTATTAGTCATAAATTTTTAGGCTGTATACTTGAGATATTAAAGTCCGCATGGGCGTATGGGCCTAATTTTTTTGGGGGGGGAAGGCACAGTATAGTTTGCCAGAACAGGCAAACTGAACATTAATATTTTTTCCCAAAATTGTTGGCGAGCGGGGGGGGGGGATTTTTTTCCGGACATATCAAAAAAAAATTTCCGGACATATCAGAAAATTTTCCGTAACATCACGTCATTTTCGAGAAATACAAAAAAATTTTCACACCATATCAAATTTTTCCCGAAATTTTTACGTTTTGCCCGAATTTCGTATTGGTTTTTGCCCGACCGTAAAAAATTGGGGGGGCCACGTGTCCCCCGCCCCGACCCATACGCCCATGAGCCAAACACGAGCCAAAGCGCCGCAAAGCAAAGCGCTGTTTGTTGTCATGATGACCTCCTGTAACCAGTGCCATAGCCAGCCCAAAGATTTACGCCCGTATTCTAAAAGCTCACTCACACTCACACTCAATGAGTGGAGGTTCAATCTGAGCTTCTTTTGACTGTGAATGCTGTTTTTGAATAGCTGGCGAGTGAGTAGTGATCACATAGTAAGGTTCAATTCAATTCAATTCAAAAACATTTATTTAAACACGATATAAAAATAAGCAGCAAATTGCTGATGTGTTCGTGTGTTTACCAGTATAGTAAAATCTATTTACATATGCTATGTTAATATATATAGTTTATATATAAATTGAATATCGTAAAAATAATGATAGTAAGAATATATAGTAAGAATATGACTAGAAAAGTTTAAAAATAGATATAGTTCAGATCATTAACGACACTAACCCTCCAGCTATTCAAAAACAGCATCAGTTCACACTCAAAAGAAGCTCAGATTGAACCTCCACTCATTGAGTGTGAGTGAGCTTTTAGAATACGGGCGTTAGTCCCGCTATGCAAATTTCAACTCATTATCATTATATTCATTTCTTTAGAAATTTATTGTGTTGATAGTTTATAAACATGGCAATATTTGCATATAGCGGCCAAGATAGTCGGACTGACTACGCCACTGCACATGTCCCTATTGTGACTCTTGCAGGCACAAATCTTTCTGAGAACGTACGTAATTTTACACGTAAATATCTCCAAAAAACTAGTTTCCATTTTATCAAAATTTAGTTTTTACCATGTAAAAGATTTTGACTTGAAACTACATTTATGTAACAATAAAAAACAATTATTTCCGACCTTTTTAACCTATATCTCGTAACCTTTATACCCCGGGGTAACAATTCATTCCTAAAATACTCTGAAATGCAATTTGACTCTTAATGAGTAAATTCTGCGTCAGATCAAATTTGAGTTCTATTATGGTTAGCCATAGGTGATGAAGTTAAGACTGTATGATAATACACAAACAACTATATTGATGAAAAAATCACTCCCAATAGTGAAGTGTACAAGGTCTACAAGATTTTTGTCCCTTCGAAAGTCCGGCAATGTCATAGTCTACGACCATAATAACTAAGTCTCTCTAGCAGGAATCGAGCCTGCGACTGTGGTCGTGCGTTTCTGGCGCAGGGCTAAAGCTAATTCATTTACACTACAGAATTTGGCGCAGTCCAGTTGCCGAGTTTAAACCGCAAGTTCGAGACGAATATGTATAAATTTTCTCTCGAAATTTCCATCTTTACCACCTACAAAATCCCTTCAACATTTAGTTCCAACGAATGGGACGCTCGTTGAAACTAACATAAATAACGTTTGGTGAGACGCTAAAGCTGTCCACTAAAGCTGTAACGCATTATAAACGCATGTAGATGGCACCGGCAAATCAATAATGTCAGATCTAGATCAAGTAAATATAGTTTGAATTAGAAAATGGAATGGCGAACAGATGTCAGTAATATAATATTAGTGTATTGAAGCGAATTGAGGACAGGTTTGACTTTGGATAATAGAAAGCTTTCCCGTTTCTCAACTTAACTTTAGCTTGGAATTGGCAGATGCAGAATTAGTGAAGTATGGAATAACATAATGCCTCGTTGCATGGTCTTGGGAAATATGGACTAACATTATGCATGCTTAAGAACACCTAACTCCTACCTGCACTAAGGGTATACACCATGATCACCGCGAGAAACCATTTTGAATTAGTCAAAAATTTCAGGTACGCTGGTCTATATTTTCCCCAGCCAAACGATATGTCTTGATCAATTAAATGTTCTGTGGGCGAATGCTTCTGCCTGTTTGACACATCGAAACTCTTGCTGCTAGAACCCATGAGGCATGAGCGCTATATCGACGGCAGCCGTTTCTAAATGTAAGTTATAATTGTAATTTCCTAAATGCAAATGTAAGTTAAAACCAAATCGTGATGCTCATAGTTTAAATTTTAATCATTACCAACCCTCGAAAGGTGTTCGTAACCATAGGGATGCGCAACGGGTTACTGCTGGTGACAGCCGCTAATTAAAATAAATGCCTATAACGCTAAATGCGATCAGTTAGTTAGGATAAAACGCTGATGCGGACGGACGGACGGACGGACGAACGAACGAACGGACGGACGGACGGACGGACGGATGACCTATTTTTCTCTAAAATATGTTTTAAACATCATATCCGCGTTTTACCCGATCGGGTAAAACGCGGATATGCCTTTGAATGAGCCGAAAAGCATATATTACACCATATCCGCGTTTTATATGCCTTTGAAAGAGCCGAAAAGCATATTTTACACCATAACCGCGTTTTATCCGATCGGGTAAAACGCGGATATGATGTTTAAAACATATTTTAGAGAAAAATAGGTCATCCGTCCATCCGTCCGTCCGTATCAGCGTTTTACCCTAACCCCGCGAAAAGCCGGTAAAAACAGGAACGCGAAAAGCCGGAATCTTTAAAAACAGGAACGCGAAAAGCCGGTAAAAACACGAACGCGAAAAGCCGGAATCTTTAAAAACACTAGGAACGCGAAAAGCCGGAATCTTTAAAAAAAGGAGTATGATTTTATAGTGTGAAATATTAGTGTCTGAATTAGTGAATATATATCTTAAAAATGTCGATTTCTCAATACTCGGGTAATGTAGTGATTTGTCTGCCTCGTCCCTCGTCGCTTCAGTTGGGAATAGAGATCAGTGGAAAACAATAGGAGCGCGGTGCTTAATGGGAATGCGATAGAATCTGAAGCGACTCGGAAATCCCGCATCCAAGATGGCGTCTATCAAGTAAGTATTGGGCTATTCCATTTAATATCCGTACCCCCCCCTGTCGAGGATCCCTGGAATTCTTCAGGGGTAAAGGGTTTTGAGCTTGGAATTCTTCAGGGGTAAAGTGTTTTGAGCTTGGAATTCTTCAGGGGTAAATGGTTTTGAGCTTGGAATTCTTCAGGTGTAAAGGGTTTTGAGCTTGGAATTCTTCAGGTGTAAAGGGTTTTGAGCTTGGAATTCTTCAGGGGTAAAGAGGTTTGAGATTGAAATTTTTCAGAGCTTGGAATTCTTCAGGGGTGAAGGGGTTTGAGCTTGGAATTCTTCAGGGGTAAAAGGTTTTGAGCTTGAAATTCTTCAGGGGTAAAGGGTTTTGAGCTTGGAATTCTTTAGGGGTGAAGGGTTTTGAGCTTGGAATTCTTCAGGGGTAAAAGGTTTTGAGCTTGGAATTCTTCAGGGGTAAAGGGTTTTGAGCTTGGAATTTTGGAATTCTTCAGGGGTAAAAGGTTTTGAGCTTGGAATTCTTCAGGGGTAAAGAGTTTTGAGCTTGGAATTTTGGAATTCTTCAGGGGTAAACAGTTTTGAGCTTGGAATTCTTCAGGGGTATGACAATGAAAAACATGTATCCTCGACAGGGGGGGTACGGATATTAAATGGAATAGCCCATTAAGAAACACACAGCATTACTTTAATAAACTTATTAAGCTTCCTAGCGTCTCATATAAACACTATTCTGATATTTATATGCCAATAACAAAATGTAGAATAACAATGGTGCAGCATTACCATACAAGGTCACGATAAGCTGTTGCCTATAATACTTATAATAATAACACAACAATCCATGATTTACCGTAATTAAACAAGTTAAAATATATCACTACCAGTATCTTACAACAATTCAAAAGTATGGCAAGTGTTCTTTGGAGAATTAAAGTCATAATAAGCTTTAAGAGATGAAAAACAACCTATCATTAAAAATATAATATAAATAAAATATAATATAAATAAAAGATTATAATCTGAAAGTCATTTGCTCCAGGGCTTTAATTTTCATTTTTAAATTAGGTTACATGTGCATTAAATCCTGGCCATTCTACCCCAGCCTTTTTCATATGGTTTTAAACCCTGGCTAATTATATATCCCCTTTTATATCAGTGTTAAACCCTGGCGGGTATTGAAAAGGCAATGCTCTGTTAAAATCTTGTATTTCCTCCACAAACTCCTATTAAAACTTGGCCATTGAGCCACAATGCACCCTACTTATTTTTTACTTCTCTAACGCCAGATGGTTTTACTCGTCAATGGGGAAGCTCTGCAGTTATATGGGTTAACCAAAAAATCCGACAATGTCCCTAGTTAGCCCATTGAGCCGGCGTCCCTGGGTGCCCCATTACAAGTAAATCGTCTGGCATTAATACAAGTAAAAAATAAGTATGGTATTTTTTACTTGTATTAATGCCAGACGATTTACTTGTAATGGGGAAGCTCTGTAGCTTAACAGGTTAATGAGTAAAATCACCTGTCATTAAGTCATATTGCAATAATAAAGTTAGGAGCATTACAGCTAATCTGTCAATCTTACTCATCTTAGGCAACAGCAATTCAACAAAATACCAATATATACAAGCCAATCAAGTCCAGCATAATTGTCATTTTGGATGCTGTTAAATAGTTCAGTTGGATTTGCAGATGAAGTACTTGAAAAGGTCAGTTTCAATTACAGTATGGTATAGTTGTGTATTGTTACAGGGCTTGAAATGACGTTTCCAACGTTCCCGAACATGCTGATTAAGCAGTCATGATTTTCTGCTGATCAAATGAAAATCCAATCAGTATATATTTATAGGTTCTGTTTATATGTTCTGTGATAATGCTGTAGTATTGCATGCAGGGTACGAATTAAGGTGTCAAAACAGCTTCGCAAAAATTTTGGTAAATAAATACTGCCTATTTCAAAACCATCCTCAGAAATACCGTATGAAAAACTAGTTACATATTATTCTGACATTGCAGAGTACAACGAAATTCATTGTCTCGAACGAGTTCGAATCCCGCTTGAGACAACAAATTTTTCGTTGTACTCTGCAATGTCTTGCTGTACTGGTGATTACTATATTCAGCTAGCATATTAAAATGCAAGACAGGTCACTTTGTTAAAAATGTTAGTTATAAATTAAGCAACAAACAATACTTAATTTGTGTGTTCACAAATAATTTTCACAAATAATTACTAGTAACAAGGCCACCGATGTTCACAAAAAAACCCTGTTTACTCTTTATGTAAACGTTTCTCATATATGCGCGTACCCAAGAAGTCTAAGTAAAATCTAAACTGATTTAAATATTACTTACAATAGGAAACAATTGAATAAGACCGAAAGGCCGAAATATATGTGTCGTAAGACTAGCCATGTGACAAAAATAAAGAAACGTGCGCCAATTACTGGCATTTTGACAAACTGCAACATTTTACTTTTAGGCATAAAGTAAACATCCGGTTTGTAGTATTTAGCCGCCCTTAATATTAACTGTGATTGATTACAGCATAAATTGGGATCATATGACTACAACCTGACTACAAAACAAAAATCAAAGCCTCTTCAAAACAATATAAACTGCAGACAAACAAATTAAAAGCAAAAACAGCGCGTTCGGCTCTCTCGTATTCATGTTCGTTATAATGTTTATGCAATATATTTTCAAAATTTTCACTTCGCATTTTCCCGTTTGCCAAGCAATTTCGCTTCGCAAAAATGTACAGATGCTTCGCAAATTGCGAAGTGCGAGCCGTTAATTCGTACCCTGGCATGGTGTTTGTTAATGACATTAACCCATTAAGCGCCAGTGCTCTCCCCTTGACAAGTAAAATCGTCTGGCATTAGACAGAGTAAAATACTAAAGTAGGGTGCATCAGGGTGCAATGCGACTCAATGGGTTAAAGGCACAGTTCAGCCTTTTGGACGATGGTTTTTAAGGCGCATTTCAGCCCTTTTAATTGAAAAAACTAACTAGGAAAATCAATTAAGCATAATTCAAGATCACCAAACTCAATTAGTTTTTTCAATTAAAAGGGCTGAAATGCGCCTTAAAAACAATCGTTCAAAAGGCTGAACTGTACGTGCCTTTAACTGGACACAAGGGCAGATAGGCCAGTTAACTCATTAAGCGCCAGCGCTCTCCCCTTGATGAGTAAAATCGTCTGGCGTTAGACAGAGTAAAATACTAAAGTAGGATGCATCAGGGTGCAATGCGACTCAATGGGTTAACCATGTTTTTGAAACAATAGTTCTTTCCAATCAAGATGATTGAGAACCTTGCCTCTCTCGTGCCCTGTGTTAGCAAAGTGCTATAATTATACAAGAATGATATGAAAAGTTTCCCTCAATCATCCGCAGGGTTTCTATTTCAGCCAAATTGTTCAAAGCTGTTTTTATCAGTTGAAAGTAATTGAGGGGGAAGGTTTTCAACAATTTAAGAAAGTTTGGATTAGTTTGAGGTGGTTTATGAATTTTTGAAAAAATTCCTGCGGTCCCCCCTTTGCATTTGATCAATTTTTTTAAAACCTGTTTTTATTGATTGAAAGTAATTCTTTTCATGAGAGGGAAGGTTTTCGACAATTTTCAGAAACTTTGGAGTAGTTTGAGGTTGTTTTTGAACTTTTGAAAAATTTCCTGTGGTCCCCTCTTTGCATTTGACCACATTTTTAAAAACATGTCCTTATTGATTGAAAGTAATTATTTTGGACTAGTTTGAAGTGGTTTTTGAATGTTTTGGAAAAATTTCATGTCATGTTTTAAGTGGCAATCAGTTAATTAAGTTATATTTTCATAAGTACACCTAAATTCAAATATATCTATTCCTATATTGATTAAGTTTATTTTCTGTTCTCAGTCATTCTCCCAGTATTAATTTATTGTTCCGTCAAGAGAACAATGAACTTCTCATGTCAGGCATCATCGAGATACTGGAGGAGGAATTTCTTGATAGAGTGAGTATTTTATTTTATGCTACATTTTGAGGACACCTATTTCTTCTAGTTGGTTCACACCAGAAATTTTGATCACATGCCAAGGGGGAACACCAGATCACCCCAATTACACACGTAAAAACGCACAAGTTGTAACAAGTCCGCAAACAATTTGTTACAAGTCTGTTCACAAGCTGTCAACAAGTTGTGTTAAATACAGGGTTGTCAACACAAGGTTGTAACAATCTTGTTATATCAAGCAGGATTGGCAGGTTTGCTCAATAATTAGGCCAAACACCGTCACACTTAAGGCCTTTGTTTTCTTTGTCTTGCCCTTTTGTTTTCTTTACTCATCAAACTTACCAACCCTGATATCAAGCAGTTAACTATTGTAATGGACCAATTGTTGAGAACAACCTTGCAACAAGTCTGATAATAATTCAACAAGGTTGTTACAAGTTGTTAACAAGTTGATCTGAAGCTGTTGACAACTTGTGACAAGCTGCAGTTCGAATACATCTTGTTGACGGCTTGACTTGGCAGACCTATGTGACATTTCTCTGTGTGTAGGTTTACAAATGAATGAACATATTTTTCAATTATTCAAAATTTACCCTAAATCACTCCAAACTTTCTGGAAGTGATCAAAAATTTCTTTCATCAAAACAACCACCTTCCATTTATAAAACCATGTTTTAGGGGTCGGGGAGGGGGACCACAACAAACCCATGCACATTTTTGAGATATTTTTCAATAATTCTCAAATATTCCCCCAAATCACTCCAGATGTTCTGGAAGTGATCAAAAATGTTTTCTTTGGTTCAAATGATGACTTTCAACTTGCAAGAACATGCAGAGGGGGGGGGATGCCTCCTGTTCTTGAGTTATTTTTCAACAATTCAAAATTTTCCCCAAATCACTCCAACAAAACATGTTGTACAAAATTTGAAAATTTCGATTAAATACCAAGAGCGGACCACAGGCATCCTCTCAGTTTTCAATTTTTCAAACCATTGATTCAATCTAAGTAATTGTCATATGAACTAAATATAATGTTTTCTTTTCCAGGCAAGACAGATCACTTTATGAATGTGACATGTTTTCTAAGAACAGATTTGTGGGTGACAAGAAAAGAAAGCTTATCATTCAGACATTACGAGAAGCCCTAATAATGTTAACATACATTAGACAATGAATGGAGACATAAATCCGTCTGAGGCATTGAGAACTATAACCAAACAAACCTTACCAAATCATGAGGTATTATACAAAGTATAACTTTCTTTCTGTATATGATAATTAATGCAAGTATTCACCATATTTTAAATAAAAAAGTTAGAAAATCGGTCATTGGATTCTCTTTGTAACGGCAAATTATTTTATGTCAGATGATTTTACTTGTAAGTTGTAGTAAGGATTTAATGGTGAGCTGGCGAGAAATAGTATGTGGTACATAGTATTAGCCCATTATCGCCCTTTCCTTAATTCTCCAAAACTAAAGGTGTTAGCTCTTGTTTTTTATGAACAAAAATAAAAAGGATAGCAGTTTGTCAATATAAGCTTAAGTGGTCAGCTTTTACTTTCCGTCCATTTTTAGCCACATTTTTTTTTAAAAAGAGAGAAAAATTACAAAAAAGTGTATTAAGGTATTGAATTTCATACATTAATAGGTCTTAATAATTCGTTTTTGACACTTCGAAAAATGGAATAAGAACAGTCCTTTCACCCTTTTTTGTCACATTTTGAAAAAATTAAATATCAAAAACTTTACTATCTTTCTCATCATTTTTGCGTGCCAAATGTAAAGGGCTTCAGGCCTTTAATTTTAGGCCACTTAATTTTTTTAAATAAAAATTGGTGATGAGAGATTATGTAGAAATTAGTATGGTTCCCACCAACGGATGGATCTACTAGTCGAGTGGTAGTCGAGTGGTGTTGCACGAGGGAGAACTACGGATCGATTCCTGTTATAGTCAAAACCTTTTTAATGTCAGGCATCTTTTTTTGCTAATTTTACCCGGGACGAGAATGAGTTAAGTAGAATAAAAAAGGAATTACCGTAAGTGTAGACAAGACGGTCTTGTGGTAAGGACTAAGTGTTGCAAGTGTAAAGCCAGGATTAATTCCTGCTATAGTCAAAAATCATTTTAATGTCAGGCGTCGTTGCTAATTAATTCCACCCGAGATGAGAAAGAGTTAAGTAGAATAAAAAAGGAGTTAAAGCAAGTGTTGGGCCGAGGGTCTGGTAGTAAGAAAAAAGTGTTGCAAGTGTGCGAAGCTAGGATCGTTTCCTGTTATAGTCAAAACCATTTTAATGTCAGGCATCTTTTTTTTACTAATTTTACCCGAGCCGAGAATGAGTTAAGTAGAATAGAAAAGAAGTTCAAGAAAACGTTGGCCCGAGGGTCTAGTGGTAAGGGCAAAGTGTTGCACGTGCGTGAAGCAAGGTTCGATTCCTGATTGTATCAAAAGCATTTTAATGTCAGGCGTCGTTGTTAATTAATTCCACCCGAGACGAGAATGAGTTAAGTAGAATAAAAAAGGAGTTAAAGCTAGACAGTTAGTGTAGGCGAGATGGTATAGTGGTAAGGGCAAAGTGTCGCACGTGCGTGAAGCCAGGTTCGATTCCTGATTGTATCAAAAGCATTTTAATGTCAGGCCTCGTTAATTAATTCCACCCGAGACGAGAATGAGTTAAGTAGAATAAAAAAGAGTTAAAGTAAGTGTTGGCGAGACGGTCTAGTGGTAAGGACAAAGTGTGTGAAGCCAAGGTCGACCCTGGTGAATTAAGTTTTGCTACAATTAGGGACCTTAGAATTCAATAGAACATAAGATTCAAAAGCGCATAATATTAACTTTCACGTCTTTTTCAATCACACAGGCACAGCTCGAAAAACTTGCTTTTTATGTCCACGGACTGTCTAGTTATGCAAGATTGAGGCATCGACAGAAAGCCTATTGACCGTACATTCCAAAAATACAATTTTCAGACCGTGACAAATTCAAGTTTTTGCTGCAGGAGTCTTGAAATTCAATAGAACATAAGGTTCGAAACAATATAATATTAAATTTCACGGGTTTTTTTTCCATTAGACAGCTAGAAAAACTTGCTTTTTATGTCCACGGACTCTCTAGATATGCAAGAATGAGGCATCGACATAAAGCCTATTGACCGTAGATTCCAGAAATACAATTTTCAGACCGTGACAAATTCACGTTTTTGCTACAGGAGCCTTGAAATTCAATAGAACATAAGTTTCGAAACGGCATAATAATTAACTTTCACGTCTTTTTCGATTACACAGCTGGAAAAAGTCGCTTTTTATGTCCACGGACTCTCTAGATATGCAAGAATGAGGCATCCACAGAAAGCCTATTGACCGTAGATTCCAAAAATACAATTTTCAGACCGTGCCAAATTCAAGTTTTTGCTACAGGAGCCTTGAAATTCAATAGAACATGTAAAGTTCGAAGACGCCAATATTAAATTTCACGTTTTCTTCGATTAGTCAGCTAGAAAGACATACTTTTACCTCCACGGACAAGTCTAGTGATATACGAGTAAGGCATCGACAGAAAGCCTATTGACCGTAGATTCCAAAAATGCAATTTTTAGACCAGCCCAAATTCAAGCCTCTGCTGCAGGAGCCTTGAACTTCAATAGAACATAAGGTTCGAAATGGCATAATAATTAACTTTCACGTCTTTTTCGATTACACAGCTGGAAAAACTTGCTTTTTTTGTCCACGGACTCTCTAGATATGCAAGAATGAGGCATCGACAGAAAGCCTATTGACCGTAGATTCCAAAAATGCAATTTTCAGACCAGCCCAAATTCAAGCCTGTGCTGCAGGAGCCTTGAACTTCAATAGAACATAAGGTTCGAAATGGCATAATAATTAACTTTCACGTCTTTTTCGATTACACAGCTGGAAAAACCTGCTTTTTACCTCCACGGACAAGTCTAGTGATATGCGAGTAAGGCATCGACAGAAAGCCTATTGACCGTATTGATTCCAAAAATGCAATTTTCAGACCAGCCCAAATTCAAGCCTCTGCTGCAGGAGCCTTGAACTTCAATAGAACATAAGGTTCGAAATGGCATAATAATTAACTTTCACGTCTTTTTCGATTTACACAGCTGGAAAAACTTGCTTTTTATGTCCACGGACTCTCTAGATATGCAAGAATGAGGCATCGACAGAAAGCCTATTCATTTTAGATTCCAAAAATACAATTTTCAGACCGTGCCAAATTCAAGTTTTTGCTACAGGAGCCTTGAAATTCAATAGAACATGTAAAGTTCGAAGACGCTAATATTAAATTTCACGTTTTTTTCGATTAGTCAGCTAGAAAGACCTGCTTTTACCTCCACGGACAAGTCTAGTGATATACGAGTAAGGCATCGACAGAAAGCCTATTGACCGTAGATTCCAAAAATGCAATTTTTAGACCAGCCCAAATTCAAGCCTCTGCTGCAGGAGCCTTGAACTTCAATAGAACATAAGGTTCGAAATGGCATAATAATTAACTTTCACGTCTTTTTCGATTACACAGCTGGAAAAACTTGCTTTTTATGTCCACGGACTCTCTAGATATGCAAGAATGAGGCATCGACAGAAAGCCTATTGACCGTAGATTTCAAAAATACAATTTTCAGACCGTGGCAAATTCAAATTTTTGCTACAGGAGCCTTGAACTTCAATAGAACATATAAGGTTCGAAACGGCATAATTATATTAACTTTCACGTCTTTTTCGATTACACATGCAGCTGCAAAAACCTCGCCCATTGATGAAAAATCGAAAAATTAAGGCTATAGCCTTACTTTTCGCTTTTTTTTTATGAAAAATGAGAAAAGTCAGTGAAAATCGACAAAAAAGGCGTCAGGAACCTTGTCCTCAGGAACCTCGTCCTCATCATCAGGAACCACGTCCTCACCATCAGGAACCTTGCCCTCACCATCAGGAACCACGTCCTCACCATCAGGAATCTTGCCCTCACCATCAGGAAGCACGTCCTCACCATCAAGAACCACGTCCTCACCATCAGGAACCACGGCCTCACCATCAAGAACCACGTCCTCACCATCAGGAACCACGTCCTCACCATCAGGAACCATGCCCTCACCATCAGGAACCACGTCCTCACCATCAGGAACCACGTCCTCACCATCAGGAACCACGTCCTCACCATCAAGAACTACGTCCTCACCATCAGGAACCACGTCCTCACCATCAAAAACTACGTCCTCACCATCTGGGCACAGGTAGCCCAAGACGGTTCATTTATCTATTTTTTAATTAAAAGAAAGATAAATGAATGTCTTGGGCTGCTGTGCCCTGGCCACAGTAGCCCAAGACGTTCATTTATCTATTTTTTAATTAAAAGAAAGATAAATGAATGTCTTGGGCTACCTGTGCCCTGGCCACAGCAGCCCAAGACGTTCATTTATCTATTTTTTAATTAAAAGAAAGATAAATGAATGTCTTGGGCTACTGTGCCCTGGCCACAGGTAGCCCAAGACGTTCATTTATCTATTTTTTAATTAAAAGATAGATAAATAAATGTCTTGGGTTACCTGTGCCCTTGGCACATTTGGCCAAGACATTCATTTATCTATCTTTTAATTAAAAGATAAAAACCAGCGCCAGGAAGCACGTCCTCATCATCAGGAACCTCGTCCTCACCATCAGGCCACATTAGCCCAAGTGGCGCAAATAGCAGAGGCGTTTCGCCGAGGACAAGGTGCCTGACGCCGAGAACAAGGTTCCTCACGTTGAAATATTCTAACGTGTATTTCCACTTAACAAGCAGGAATCGAACCTGGCTTCAAGCACTTGCAACACTTTGTCCTTACCACTAGACAATCCCACCTACACATGCTTTAACTCCTTTCTTAATCTATTTAACTTTTTCTCGTCTCGGGTGGAATTAATTAACAACGGCACCGGACATTAAAATACTCTTGGCACAAGCAGGAATCAAACCTGGCTTCACACACTTGCAACACTTTACCACTAGACCATCTCGCCTACAAGGGCTTTAACTTCTTTTTTATTCTACTTAACTCTTTCTCGTCTCGGGTGGAATTAATTAACAACGGCACACGACATTAAAATACTCTTGGCATCAGCAGAATCGAACCCGGCTTCACACATTTGCAACACTTTGTCCTTACCACTAGATCATCTCGCCTACACATGCTTTAACTTCTTTTTTATTCTACTTAACACTTTCTCGTCTCGGGTGGAATAAATAACAACGGCACACGACATTAAAATACTCTTGGCATCAGAAGGAATCGAACCTGGCTTCACACACTTGCAACACTTTGTCCTTACCACTAGACCATCTCGCCTTCTCAAGCTTTCACTTATTTTTTATTCTACTTAACTCTTTCTCGTCTCGGGTGGAATTAATTAACAACGGCACACGACATTAAAATACTCGTGGCATCAGAACGAATCGAACCTGGCTTCACACACTTGCAACATTTTGTCCTTACCGCTAGACCATCACCCTTACGTTTCCTTTGGCTGCTTCTTTATTCTACTTTAAGAAAAGCTAAAATCGGATAAGTTTTGCTGTTTTTTGCCCATTTATGAAAAATGAGATAAGTGGGTAAAAATGGACGAAAAGTAAAGGCTATAGCCTTACTTTTTTGCTGTTTTTTTCCCATTTATGAAAAATGAGATAAGTCGGTAAAAATGGACGAAAAGTAAAGGCTATAGCCTTACTTTTTTCCTGTTTTTTTCCCCATTTATGAAAAATGAGATAAGTTGGTAAAAATGGACGAAAAGTAAAGGCTATAGCCTTACTTTTTTGCTGTTTTTTGCCCATTTATGAAAAATGAGATAAGTCGGTAAAAATGGACGAAAAGTAAAGGCTATAGCCTTACTTTTTTGCTGTTTTTTGTCCATTTATGAAAAATGAGACAAGTCGGTAAAAATGGACGAAAGGTGAAGGCTATAGCCCTACTTTTTTGCTGTTTTTTTGCCCATTTATGAAAAATGAGGTAAGTCGGTAAAAATGGACGAAAAGTAAAGGCTATAGCCTTACTTTTTTGCTGTTTTTTTTGCCCATTTATGAAAAATGAGGTAAGTCGGTAAAAATGGACGAAAAGTAAAGGCTATAGCCTTACTTTTTTGCTGTTTTTTGCCCATTTATGAAAAATGAGATAAGTCGGTAAAAATGGACGAAAAGTAAAGGCTATAGCCTTACTTTTTTGCTGTTTTTTCCCCATTTATGAAAAATGAGATAAGTTGGTAAAAATGAACGAAAAGTAAAGGCTATAGCGTTACTTTTTTTGCTGTTTTTTTCCTTCCATTTATGAAAAATGAGACAAGTCGGTAAAAATGGACGAAAAGTAAAGGTATAGCCTTACTTTTTTGCTGTTTTTTGCCCATTTATGAAAAATGGAAAAAGTCGCCAAAAATGGAGGGAAAAGTAAAGGCTATAGCCTTACTTTTTTGCTGTTTTTTGCGCATTTATGAAAAATGGAAAAAGTCGCTAAAAATGGACGAAAAGTAAAGGCTTATAGGCTTACTTTTTTGCTGTTTTTTCCCCATTTATGAAAAATGGAAAAAGTCGCCAAAAATGGAGGGGAAAGTAAAGGCTATAGCCTTACTTTTTTGCTGTTTTTTCCCCATTTATGAAAAATGGAAAAAGTCGCCAGAAATGGAGGGAAAAGTAAAGGCTATAGCCTTAATTTTTTTCTGTTTTTTTTCCCATTTATGAAAAATGGAAAAATTCGCTAACAATGAACGAAAAGTAAAGGCTATAGCCTTACTTTTTGCTGTTTTTTTTTCCCATTTATGAAAAAGGAGATAAGTCGGTAAATATCGACGAAAAGTAAAAGCTATGGCCTTAATTTTTGCTGTTTTTTTTCCCATTGATGAAAAATGAGAAAAGTCGGTAAAAATGGACGAAAAGTAAAGGCAATATATAGGCTTACTTTTTTGCGAGTTCTGATTTGTTTAGCAAAGAACAGCTTTGTTTTCATTGGCTAGTGCTAAAAGCATCTATTCGTCTGAACTCCCTTGGGGGATTAAACAAAAGGAATGTTAAATTGGCTATCTTCAAACTACTGGGTGTATCAAAAAACTACAAACACTATAATTTGCATAATTCTGTTACTAGCATTTCAATGTCTGTGCTACTTATTTTGCTCTTGGGATTTGAAAATACATTCTGATTAACCGCGTTGATAGAAATTAGAATAGCACAAAGTTATTTGTATTGCAGAAAACTAATTATCAGTTCGACTGCGAATGGTCAACTACTGTGTTTACGCATGCTTGGGATCAATTAGTTCTGAATCATGCAAATTCAAAAACATTGTTCAGGGTGTCCCAAAAAAACTGCAAACTATTGAAATAACGTATTGTTAGAATTTGAATGCCTCATTTATGCATAAAGAACTGTTTATAAAGCTGCTTTAAATTCCCAAGAGCAGAAAGTCGTGCGCTTTACAAATCTGTTTTTGGGGGAAACAACCTTTCCACTAATTAGGGGTTAGCCTTTACATTTTGGCCACTCAAGTGGCCAAAAATCGCCAAAAGGTACAGGAGAATAGGCTTTACATTTTTCGACGAAACGTTAACTGGTTACTGTGGCCTTCACAAGTTCACATTTCGGCGATTTTTGCCACTTTTGGAGTTTTTAAAAGGCCGCCATCAAATTTGCCGAAAAGTAAGACATATATCCTTGAACAAATATAAAAGACAAAAACAAACAAGGCCAAAAAAAAATGTGGGTTTCCGGTTTCTTCTTACAAAAACTTAGGTAGGGTAGGTCGGTTCTAACTTTTTTTTAACCTTTTTTTTTAATTTTCCTAACAACCGGACGCCATTTTGTTTAGTCAGTGCTTCCACTTCCCAAAATAAATTTCCCTAATATTGCCTCAAATTTCAATTTTCCACGAACTTTTTCCTCCAAGTGGAAACACTTACAAGCATGATCCAATAAAAAAAGTTTAGGGTCGGGATTTCGGAAACCCACATATTTTTTTTGGGCCCCAGGAAAAAAACAGAAGTGAAATTTTGAGATTTATTTTGTACAGAAGTGTTGAACTTTACAATAGTACCAGTGCACTCTCTTAAAGCATGCTATAAATGACCGTTCAATCAGTTCAAATGCAGTGTTTATAACAATTATCATCAAACCATCTTAGGACGGGTATCTTTCCACTATCATTCCATGACCCTAAAATACATATTAGTAAAAATTACTCTTGTAAACCAACATCGGCAAATTTTTGTACTACATACATTTGTACTATATCAAAGTTTTGTACAATAAGGACACTGGGTGATGTAATGTAATGTAATGTAATGTATCTTTATAGTAAAATACCTCATCTTGATCAACTTTTAAACTGTCAAAGTTTTCCAGATACTATGTCATTAGGTGAAATTTTGGGGGGAAAAAACAAAGGAAAACTAATTTGCAATTCACCTAATGACATCATATCCGGAAACTTTGACAGTGGAAAAGTTGATCAAGATGGGATTTTTTATTGTAAAGATCTATTACATTTCTTCCTCGAATGACCCAAATATTACACGATCATATTTCGTCATACTTTAAAAGCGTTTCTAAAAACGCTCTCGCATGCATCCTACCTGACCACCAGCAGCACAAGCAGCAAGCAAAGCGTATTTTCCATCTTCTTTGATCAATCTGTTAGCAGCGGTTGTGGCAAGACGTACTCCTGTAGCGCCAAATGGATGTCCGATGGAAAGAGATCCACCCCACGTGTTTAACTTATCCATAGGTATACTGCCAACCTACGATTTCATATCAAGAAGTTATAGGAAGCAGTGTTCAATCGTCGCCATCCAATCCGCCATTTTTCGAGCAAAAAGCCACTATGACCGTTTACTGATTACTCTATCTTGTCACATAATAGGCAATTCCCATTATAAACTATTTTTTATCTTGTCAAAAAAGTACATTCACGGAAAGAGCATAGAAAATTTAGCAAAATTGCAAAGTTTGGTTGCGAAATGTTGTAAAGTGCGGAAAATATAGCCTTGCAAAGTTCGCAAATTTCGAATACTTTTGTATGGCGTGCGGAAATTGCTACCACATTTGGGCCGAAAATGGTAGCAATTTCCGCACGCAATACAAAAGTATACAAAATCTGGAAACTTTGCAAGGCTATATTTTCCGCATTTTACAACATTTCGCGACCAAACTTTGCAATTTTACTCATTTTTCATTGTATGCTCTTTCTAGCGCTAGCTGTGGTGATTTATTTGCATCTCCCTGCCTAGTTTTAAAATTAGTCTTTTGGAATAATATCCGCCCCTCATTCTTGCAAAACCAAAACCAAAACGCAATTTCTTACGAATCTTTTACACATGGAAAGAAAGTTATATTATATAAACTATGATTTGCCAATTGACATTCGTTCCAACTTTGTATGGTTGGTGTAAATAAATTGGTCAGATGAATTACTATACATTCAATTTTCACATGCAAATGAAATAATCACAATACACTGTAATGTACGCTGTAGTGTAGAACTTCGCTCTTTTGAGTTATGTAAATACTTGTGAAACTCAATAATTCATGAAGAAAACACAAAAAAAATCATGAGCGTGAAGGAGTTTGTATATCTGATGCAAAATCATGCTGATTTTCATAAACTATATAAGCTCAATTTTCTCACCAAATATCATTCATTTATTGAAGAATACAACTATAATATATTTACCTTTCCTTTCCTCCCCATGTAATTTTGGCCAAACCAGTCTGAATCCATCGCTTTCAAGTTGGACAAAACTTGTCCCTACGATTTCAGAGAGAAAAATTTGATTAACTATTTAGGCACATTATTAATTAATATCAAAATCATTCATAAAAATATAGCGAATTAACTTTGATCCATTTACAATCAACCTCCACCTCTTACCAGAGTATTTCTAAAGTGTAGAGTATATTGTGATGTATACTTACTGCAAAAGCTTCGTGATATTCAAACACATCAATGTCCGTCAACTTTAGAGACGCCTTCTCCAGAACCTTAGGGGTTGCATAAGCTGGGCTATATGAACAAATAATAAAATAGTATCTGGTTCAGAAGAAATGGGGAGGCGCATACAGCTTAACCCTTTATTAGTGGCCATTCGCCCTACTTTATTATTTTACGCTGTCTAACGCCAGACGATTTTACTCGTCAAGGAGAGAGTGCTGCCACTCAATGGGTTAAAGCATTATTACTACAAACGCGCCTATAATGTAACACACAACTCACCCAAGTAGAAGCTGGTCCTTTGGGTCTTGAGATACGTAAACATATTCCCTAAAATACACGGAATTTTGAAGTATAATGGACTGTGATCAGCCGAGCAATCTGAGAGTCTGATAGCGAGGGTCTGTCAACACCGCCGTTTTAGAGAAAAATACTATAATAATATATAAACAACTATGTTCAACAGTTAACTATATATAATATATAAGGTTGGCATAATTGGATATATTTTGTAACGAGGGCAAGGCTTCACTCATGAATATATAGATGAATATATAGATAATGTAAAAAATCCGGAAGCTGCTCGCTGACGGCTTATTTTATTTTTATAAAGGTGGATTACAATAGAGGCCCTGGTACTACCAGACCATTGACTACCAAGACATTGTGTGTGTGTGTGTGTGTGTGTGTGTGTGTGTGTGTAAAGTATCGAGTATCTTAAGTATAAATAACGTGGGCAGTCGCCACCAGAACTGGGAAACATTTGAAAGAATATTTGGGATACCTGAGGTATGCTTTTGGCTTGAGACCCAACGCTAGTGCTTTATCTTCTGTCATGATGAGACAAGCTGATGCACCATCAGTCTAGGAACAAACAAAAAAAATCTTGTGATTTTCGGCAATTTCTATTAAAACCCCCTTCCATACTTTTACAACACATAGGTTTCACAACACATGGGCTTTATCCCACCTGACCAGGATAGACATTTTCTGCCGATTTTGACCTATAATAGTGTCGGACGGCATAGTTGGAAAGTAAAATTAAAATAGAGCTAAACAGACACTATATTAGTATGGGTAATAATAGTGTGGTTTCGAGTGCAATTTGGGGAAAACATGCACGAGCGAGTTTTTCAAGGACGATCAAATCGGGCTCGTGTAATTTGTCTTTGAAAACCTCACGAGTGTATGTTTTTCCAAATTGCACGAGAAACCATACTATTACTTATTAATAATAATATACATGGGAAAATTATACAGTCACATGCGTGCGTATAGGTCACATTCGAAATAGTTCATTTTAATATAAACAATTTTAATTGAAAATCTACTAAAAACCTCAGCCATTTTTGTCACTTGGGTTTTTTGTATTATTTTCTGCTAGTAATGGAATTTGCATTGTGTTTCATTTTTGGCGCTGTATTTCGTCAAAATGGCACAACTCTTAGCCAATCAGAACTGAGAAATTTCTTCATGTATATTATTAAAGTCGTAATAAAAGATGTAGTTTGTTTAATTACAACAAAAAATATTGTGAGGACGCCATGTTTATACATAATGTCGCCCCAGCCAGGCGGAAGTAGTACATCCCACTCCGATGAGGTTCCTGGCAAACCGGACAAGTACCCGGACATTTTGCCGAAAGACAGTTTGCCGAAAGACATTTTGCCGAACGGACACTTTGCCGACGGACGTTTTGCCGAACGGACATTTTGCCAAACGGACATTTTGCCGAACGGACATTTTGCCGATCGGACAGTTTGCCGAAAGGACAACTTGCCGAAAATAGAGATGTTATTTCGTCAAAATGTTTGGGACTGTGACTCGTTTCTCAACAGTGTAATTATTAACCATTGAGTAAAATAACCATTATATGGTCATCAGCATTGCATAATGGTCGTTAGCGGTGCAAACTATATTGACTATATATTGGTAGCTTGTAATTTGTGCACCGGATTACTCATTTGCTAGGCCTAGGAACGTGTTTTGACGTCAGGTCGTAAACAAACAAGTGTATATAAAGACAACGACGTAAATGAATTTCACTTCGAGAATCATGGAATACATTCACAGTTCTCGGGGAAATCGCATTCATGAATAGTATGAATGATGTTGAATGATGTTATTCTTTTATATATCGCGAAATTTCGGTAAACTTGAAAGAATATAAAACGAAACTATACTTCACTATGAAAGTTCCGGTCATCAAAATCGACAATAACTTTAATTTAATTAATCACAGAAACTTTGACCGTATAATAAGCGAACTTTTAATGTTCAGAAGATATCTGTATTTTCGGCAAGTTGTCCGTTCGTCAAACCGTCCGTTCGGCAAACTGTCCGTTCGGCGAAATGTTCGTTCGGCAAAATGTCTTTCGGCAAAATGTCTTTCGGCAAATTGTCTTTCGGCAAAATGTCCGGCCACCAACCGGACACGCCCTCATATAACAAGTCAATTTATCTGGGGCAGAATAAACAAGGGTGTTTGTCTTACCAAGAACGAGGCATTTGCTGCAGTTACCGTGCCATAGGGTCTTACAAAGGCTGGTCGCAATTTCGCCATATTTTCTATAGATGATACACGGATGCCGTTATCTTTGCTCACAACAACAGGCTTGCCTACAGAGGAAAAAATATCATTTCTCAGTGAAAAATAGGAAAATCTTCCAAACTCCCATTTTATCCCTTCACGACCCTCTATGCTCTCGAATGTGGTTCAACACTACCTGGCACTTTGTACTCCAGCACATCAGACAGGTTGCCATCCTAAAATAATTAAAGTACTTATGTCACAAAAAATTTTTATTGCATTTTTGAATAGTGGAGAGAAAATGAGTCAATAAGTTCTTTTACAGTTTTCGTTTGCAAGATAAACGACTTTAAACATGGCAAAATAGGCTTTTTTGAAGAAAATGTTGCGTACAGAAAAGGGCCTGGCGTGGGGGGGGGGGGGGGAGGGTATATTCACCAGGGGCGTGCACTTCGGTATAGATCCTTGCGTTATAGTTACCTTCGTAGCCTGGTCAGCCAAGGTGTGAGATCGCAAAGCAAACTCGTCCTGCAATAAAAAATGTTTTTCTCAAACTTTTACGTTATACTTTTATGGGGGGTTAAACATTTGCCTACACAACGACGAGTTCAATAATAGCATGAATTTTCTTTCGTCATTATACAACGAAAATCTAGAGTAGTTGAATTGCATTTTTTTCTGCTCTACAAAAATACCTGTTCTCTCCGCGTGATGCCAAATGATGCACAGAGCCTAAAAATAAAACGTATCTCTTGAAAAAGCATTATCAAATACGCTACTTGATGGCCAGATTTCTTTATTAGGAAGTGTTGCTAAAATATTCTACCGAAGGCCAGATAGCGCCATAGCTTCAACCGTTGTAAAAATATTTGAAAAACTATACATTTTGTCAACTATATTACAGCAATTTATAAATACAAACGTTTAATCTGGGTTATACCAAATCAACGGAACGTTTTGAGATTACGTGCCCAATGGAAACTGATCTATATACAGTACCTGTCACCACTATGTCCCATTGTTTCATTGGTGGAGAATTCAGACACGGCTGGAAGCTGTAAAAACAACAAACACACGATAGTTTACATTATCTGCAGTCTCATCAACCCAGTGTTGTAACGAGTCGAGTCATTGACTCGGACTCGAGTCAACTCGAGTCGCTATTTTCAGCGACTCGACTCGACTCGAGTCCAAAACGAAAAATGACTCGACTCGACTCGAGTCAACAGCCCCAAATGACTCGACTCGGACTCGACTTGCCGATTTTGCCGTAAATGACTCGAGTCAACTCAGCTACAACTTGTACAGAATAAATTCATCAAAATTATTGTGATTGTATTTCTTGGGGAAAACAATGAGCCCTGTGAACAATGAGAATTTCGAAACTTTATCAGAATATATATGGGATTTGCATAGAATACAATATATTCCTGACGGACATGCCCATATTACATTTCTGCTTTTAGAAACAACGCTAGTGCCACAGTTTTTAAAATGGAGTTTCAAAATTTTTTGTACTTGTACTAATTCTGACCGGCTATCTTCATTTTTGGTATTTATGAAGTGCTATATAATTTCAAATTAACTTACAAGGCGTGGTTAATTAAAGTATATTCTTTGTTAATTCTGACTCCAGTTGCAACTTATGCTAGATGTATGTACGTACACTCGATCAGCAGGCGTGATGAGGCAACTCATGTGGTTGTACTTAATATTGACTAGAACTGTGGTATTGGTATAGCCTTTGGCAGCCCAGATACTGTTATTACATGACTAAAGTGATTAGCTTAAAACCTAAATTTGATTACAAGTTTCATAATGCAAGCTAAGGTAACGAACTATTGCAGAAAGCGCGGGGTGGACCATTCTCGTCCCCAGAGCCATTTTCACTCGGTCACTCGTTGAAAATTAGGCTCTGGGTTAGACGACTAAAGCGAGAGATCTGATTGGCTTCCCAGAGAAATGCTATTTCGCAGAAGTTGAGCAGTTTTATGTAGGAAAAATTATTCTATCAACATATGTCAACGCAAATACTTCGTTTCTTCGTAATACTTCACTTTGAAAATTGTTACGAATGCTAAAGTGTCCCAATTCAAGACCATGCGCTTTAGAAACTACTGCAAGTTTTCTTGCACTTCCGGTTCAGTATGTTTCAGGGCCTACGGAGGACGCGCGCGACCGAGAGGCCCTGGGGACAAGGATGTGGGTAAACTTGATCAAATTCCCTGACTCAAATTAAGTCTGGCTATTGACTCGACTCGACTTAAACCAGTGACTCGACTTGACTCGAGTGAAACCGCTGACTTGACTCGACTCGAGTAAAACCACTGACTCGACTCGACTCGATCAGAAACTGAAATGACTCGACTCGTGAATCGACCTTTGAGTGACTCGACTCGTGACTCGACCTGTAGGTGACTCGTTACAACACTGCTGATCAACCTCATAGGGAGCTGATTTACCATACCACCACTTTCCTCCCTCAGGGAAAGTTGACAGGGTGGGTTAGGATAAACACAGTTAAGAAAGTAATATCACAATTGTTGTAAAGATAAAATACTCTAGGCTAAATATGCAAATTAGGCGGGCGTAATACTTGATGTAAAGCGCATTGGATCACATCCACATTTCCGCTATAGAAATGCTATCGTAATCGTAATCTTTGTGGCCGCGTAACATAACAATATATAAACTATCATACCTCAGGGGCAAAATGTTTTGGTCTGATAGAGGACAGTAATCCCAATCGTGCGCCCATGGTCTTGGCCTTGTTCAGCGAGAGTAATATCTTTCTTAAGGAACGATTCACTCTGATTGGTACATCAGACATGGTTTCAACACCACCAGCAATGACCGCGTCTGCTCCACCACTTGCCAATATACCCATTGCTAGAAACGAAAGAAGAATACTGTGGAACCGCGTGTGCCAATTTCGAGTGTCCACGCCCTTGGAAAGTAGTTCTTGATGTTTTTCAGTAATCACTCCAGTCTCAGTCAGCCATGAAATACACATGCACAATACCTGAAGTTATGGATTGGTTTGACGATATACAAGCCATTGTAACAGTATGTGCTGGAATCTTGTCAGAAAAGCCAGCGCCTAAAGCAGCCTAAAAAATATAAAAATTCAGTTTTTCCTTGAGAAGAGCCTTCACGTCAGCTGTTGGTGAAAAGCTGTTCATGCCATGAAAAGCTGTTCGTGCCAGCTTTTCAATGAGGAGAATTGTTCGTGTTGAAAAAG